TCCAGTCCTAAGTTCTTAGAAGTTTCTGACTGTATTGCCTCTTCAAGCAGTTACAGCTGGTTTTTGTAGCCCTGATAGATTCTTTTCCATTTTTTTTAAATACAGACTTACAAAACACCTCTAAGAAACAGAAATAATAGTAGATTATTTCCACATCATGTAGAATGCCTTTCAGCTTTTGTTCTAGTGCTCTTATTTGCCTGAGTTTTAGATTTCCCTCATTTAGCTTTGGCAGGTTGGAGTTCTGTTTTGAATTATTTTCTTGGTCCATCTGCTTAGTCAGTATGCATACCTTAGTTATTTAATATATGGTTTTAATTTATGTGGGGATCAAACACTATAGAAATGGTTTTCTTTCTAATGCCAAGAAATGGAAAAGACAGTTGAATTCAGTGATTCAGGCTGTGATTAAGCATTGCTTTCCTGCCTGTGAAGACTTCAGATTTCTTATGTTTTGAGTTCTGAACATTTTAAAAGTAGAAAATCATGCATTGTTTGTTGAACAGTGGAAAATAGGATCTAAAGTATTATTTTATAAGTTAGTATTAATATATTTTGTTTGCCAAATTGAGACAAGACCATCTAAATAAGATATAAAAAGGCAAGTAAAATGTTGGATTAATCATGCTTTCTCTCAATTCATGATGCTATGTATTTGTGGAAAGATCTGGTTTTATATTATTTCTAGCCTTCAAATGCAGTGTCTTTCTGTTGTAAAATTTATATTACACATTGTTTAACTGTACTAGGTGTGACTTCATTGCTGCAGGACACTGCCTCTGTAATATGGTAAATAACGAGCGCTGTATAATGTAAACATGGATCTTGTTCAGATAGGCTGTTTATGCAATGACAAGTTGTCCTATAATCTCCACTGTTGCTCTTGACCTTGTTCATACCACCTTTCATGGACTCTTGTCATCTACTGCCTTTCATGTCTCTAGCCTCTTTATTCCTTCTATTTTTCAGACTGCTTCTTTAGCAGTTCATTTACTTCTTGGATCCTGTCTCCTCTTTGATCTTTCCATTCTTCATTTATATCCCATTACTGTTTTCTACCCCTAACTCAATTTCAAACTTAGGTGTTTATATGTGGGTTTTAAATTCACCTCTCTACTTTTAATCTCTCTTCTTGTCCAGTCTCCTAGATCTCATTCTTCTGCTATCTATCCTGTAAGCACAAAACTTACACCGAATTGCTCAGTGCTTTTACTTGAAATATCATGTTGGCAGTGTCATTGTATCCGTCCTTGTCAGCATAATCTGGGACAATAGTTTTGGCTTTTCTTTCACTGGTTCAGGCCAAGAACATGTAGGATGGTTTTAAAAACAAACAAATGCAATGCAGGTGTGGATTAGTGATACAAAGCTCTCATTGTGAAGCACCTGGGATATAGATATTCATGAGCACCAAAGCACCGTTCCAAATAAGCATCACTGAAGGATTTGGGCTCAGCTCTGTATGTATGTACGAAGATGGGAGTGGCACAAAAGCGGATCCTGTCATTTTCAGTTGATAGATACTGACTCATTCTGTAAATCTGTCCCTAGGAATCTCTGCTGTTTTCTTAAAGAGGAGGAAAGTAGGAAATAGGAGGCCTGACATAGTTTAGAGTCTGCAGAGCTATTGGAACTATAGTTTCCCTGGGCTGGTTTGGACTGCAGCATTGCCTGACAGTTCCCTGATACAGGGAAGACCACCACAGGTCCAGCTCTCATGTGCTGGCCAGCCTCCATCCCTGACTCCTGCAAACACCATATACCATAGTATTGAAATGCATCCTTGGAGGACAGCTGTATAGGCTGGAGTCTTCTGAAGTGGCAGCACTGCACTGCTCTTTCTGTCAAATAAGTTTTGCTTAGCCTTGGGTCTTTTACCTGAAAGAAGGGATTGGAAAGAGAATTAAACTTTTTATAGTTTTTAATAAAGAAGAAGAGTGTTCTAGCATCTGCAGGGTCAAGATGAAGATTGCCACACTCCTACCCTAAACCTTCCTGTGAGTTGCAGCAGACTCCTGTAAATGTTATTGAGTGCTTTCCAGAGCATTTGCAGGTTCAAAGACATGCATAACTCTGATAGCCACAGAGGCTGATGTTTTCCTCTAAGGGCCAGTAGAGGCCTGAGTCCATTGGTACACTGGGGCAGTGCAGTAGAAGTCCCACAGCAGCACAGCATTGCTGGAGACCTGCTGGCAGCAGTGCCGGGCTAGGGCTGACCTCACCTCCGCAGCTAATAAGGTTGCCAGTCTCTAGAGTGTCTATGTGTCCTGGGTTCAGCAGTAGCAGTCATTTTTCCCCTTCTTGGTAGCTGGTGCAGTGCAGTGTTTTGACTTTCAGCTTGGGAACAGAGCTGATAGTGATGTTTAGGTTTGGCCAAGGACTTTGTGAGCCTCATGCTCTGCCAGGGAGGAGGGGAAGCCGGGAGGAAGCAGAGACAGGACACCTGACCCAAGTTAGCCAAAGAGGTATTCCATACCACAGCACGTCATGCCCAGGATGTAACTGGGAGTGAGCCGGAAGGGCTGGGAGTCTGCAGGGTTGGAGGAGGTATCGGTCAGAGCTTGGTCGGGCTGGGGGGGCGAGTTATCGGTCGGCTGGTGGTGAGATGATGTATTCTCTTCCCTTGTTATTTCCTTTATCATTATTATCATTGGTGGTAGCAGTAGTGATTTGTGTTATACCTTAGTTACTAAACTGTTCTTATCTCAACCCGTGGGAGTTGCATTCTTTTTGATTCTCCTCTCCGTCCCTCCGAGAGCAGGGGGAGGGCAAGAAAAGGGGGGGAAGTGAGCGAACGAGTTACCTGACCGGGTTTAAACCACGACAGTTCTTTTTGGCGCCCAACGTGGGGCACGAAGGGTTGAGATAACAACAGATCTGACCAGATTAATAGTCACTCGTCACAATGCTGATTTATTGGCTCTCAGAGTTGTTTCGCTTGATCTCACAGCTTCAGAATGTTGTAACTTACGTAGAGCCGGTATTTGCTGTGATAGTGTTTATCAAGTGTGGGGCCTGGGCTAAGGTTCTTGTCTCACTGTGCTTTATGGCAATGGCTTGTAATACGGGCGGGCTCCAGCAGCAGGGCGGGACGGACGTGGCCGTGGACTTGTACCTGGCCGTCCGGCTGCTCTTCACCGTCCTGGCCCTCACCCTACTCTCCATCTTCGTGAGGCTGCGGGGAGCCGAGGGGGAGCGGCCCCGGGAGCCGGCGGCAGCCGAACCGGCCCGGGAGAGCGGCCCCGGGGACCAAGCGGCGGCGGGAGCGGGGCCGGAGGCCGCGACGGGACGGCTGCCGGTGGAGGAGGTCGGGGCGGTCGAGGAGCGGAAGGAGGCGGCTGCCGAGCAGCGGGAGAAGGCGGCGGAGGAGCCGAGCCCGGCAGAGGAGCCGAGCCCCGCGGAAGAGCCGAGCCCCGCGGCCGAGCCCAGCCCCGCGACGGCCGAGAGCATTCCCCGGCAGCCGCCCACCGAGCCCCAGGAGGATGCAGGAGACCACGCAGTATTTCCCAGCAAGGCAGAGGAGGAAGAGCTGGACTCAGGAAAAGAGAAGCTGGTGGTGGGAGAGCCGGCAAGCACAGCAGCTACACCAGCCCCAGTGACAAGTACAGCAGCTACACCAGCCCCAGTGACAAGTACAGCAGCTGCACCAGCCCCAGTGACAAGTACAGCAGCATCAACTGAGAGTTCTGAAGGTTTTGAATGGCCTTTGGGTATCCTTGGGACCTGCCTGCTGATTGTGATGGGGATCAGCATGTTGGCACACACACAGACTGTGTTCTACCCACAACCATTTTGTCTGATCTCAAAAGTTAAGCAGAGTCAGATTTGGGTCTTGTCTGGGGTTAGACAACGATATAGTGGGACCAGGAGATTTTCCCCAAGGCTGGACAGTCATGAGTGGCAGGGTGTGTGGGACAGTATGGGCAACTATGTAGTCCACTGGGCCCCTCCAGTGCTTTGGAAGCGTCGGAGATGGAAGGCAGCTGTGTGGAGTCCCCAGCAACAAGCTGCAGAAACTGCTGAAGGGGACAGTGAATTATTTTGAGCCTGCTGGGCCCATGGCACTTCAGACCATCAGAGCAGAGATGCAACACAGAGATGGACTCATGATCGAGGGGTGGACTTAGCAATGGACACTAGTGCCCAGGTTATTCACGAGTGTGAACACTGCACACAGTCTCTCCTGCTCTGGAAGACTGTTACAAGAGATGGAGCCTGACATCATGGACCAGATGGACTCAGCAGCTTTATAGGGACTGGTCCATGCACTAAGATAAGAGTGCACTGAGATAAGAGTGATGGTATATTGAAAATGTGGGATCTGAGCATGACGTGAATGGTATGGAATAAGGGGTGGATAATGTCCTGGGTTCAGCAGTAGCAGTCATTTTTCCCCTTCTTGGTAGCTGGTGCAGTGCAGTTTTGACTTTCAGCTTGGGAACAGAGCTGATAGTGATGTTTAGGTTTGGCCAAGGACTTTGTGAGCCTCATGCTCTGCCAGGGAGGAGGGGAAGCCGGGAGGAAGCAGAGACAGGACACCTGACCCAAGTTAGCCAAAGAGGTATTCCATACCACAGCACGTCATGCCCAGGATGTAACTGGGAGTGAGCCGGAAGGGCTGGGAGTCTGCAGGGTTGGAGGAGGTATCGGTCAGAGCTTGGTCGGGCTGGGGGGGCGAGTTATCGGTCGGCTGGTGGTGAGATGATGTATTGTGCAGTAGTGATTTGTGTTATACCTTAGTTACTAAACTGTTCTTATCTCAACCCGTGGGAGTTGCATTCTTTTCGATTCTCCTCTCCGTCCCTCCGAGAGCAGGGGGAGGGCAAGAAAAGGGGGGGAAGTGAGCGAACGAGTTACCTGACCGGGTTTAAACCACGACACTATGACATTGTGTTTGCAGGGTTTTGTTTCGAGCAGAAGTCAGCAGTAAGTTGGGAGCACATTAGAGCTTATTTAGGGAATTTTCTCTCCATAACTTTTTTTTTCTTTTGATGTTGCAGGAAATATTCAGGAAGTCATACTACAAGAACGCTTGGAAAAAGAAGATGAAATTCTGGTTTCCTTGGCTGGTTTGAAGCAGGTATAACTATTGCTTAGCTTAGCCCTCTTGAACACTTCAGTGCTATTAAACCTTTCTTTTATTTCTCCTTTTTTATTCTTTTAATATACTGCCATTTTGTCTTGCTGTAGCTGTGTTACTAATACCAATGCATCGAGTATTCTGGTGTACTTTATCCAAAAAGGTAAAACTCAGCTATAAAGAGTTCAAATGACTTGCACTCTTGTTTGCTCCCTGAAAAGTTCTAGAGGCCTTGGACCAGAACTGAGGCAGTGCAACAGCACATTCTGGACTTCAGCCACACCGTCAACTTCTTAATGCAAAATGTACATGCTAGGCAATAGTTATGCCTATTTCCCCATTATTTAAATGTGCCAACACTGGAATGTCGTTGAATTAAAAGAAAAGATACTATGTACATAAAATGAGAATGCTGCCAAGCATCTCTAGTTCTGATTATACTGCCCTCTTCTCCCTCAAAATACATTTTATAAGGAACAGTGTGACAAATCTTAAACATATAATGAGGTAGGGAATAATCTGAACAGTTTCATTCTCTTTAGATTTCTTGGAAAGTTGCTTTCCAGACTCTGATACAACCACATTTCACTGATACTTGTTTCTTTAACCAATATAGATAGAAATATTGACTTGTTTCCTAGTTCTTCAAAGCAAATATTTTGGGGAAATGATGCATAAAAACATACTGCACAGAGCTTTAAAAACGTATAATTCCTCCAAATTTCTGAATTACATTCTTCCCTCTCTCATCCAACAACAGATCAAGGATATCCTGAAAGGTTCATTGCGTTTCAACCAGAGTCAGTTGGAAGCTGAAGAAAATGAGCAAATCACCATAGCAGATGATCACTACTGTTCCAACAGTCAGAACAAGGGGACGAATGATGCCCTAAAGGGACCTGTTATGACAAAGCAACAGTTCATCTCAGAGCAGCAGGTAAGATAAAAGCATCTCAAACAGGACATTACTGGAATTAGTCTTGTCTTTTTTGGAGGCTTCCTTTAGCATATCCAGACTTTGCTAGGGAACATACCAGCATTCCTGGTACATATGGTTAAAAGTGTCCCTCTAGCTATTGTCCTACTCCCACCAAGTATTTTTATTGTAGTCATATGCTCCACACACAGATATTAAAGGTTTATTCAGTGTTTTGGGCAAGGAGGATTCGACTTTCAAATTGCTGGATCACAGAGTCACAGATTGATTTCCCACAAAAAGATGTAAAAACTGGAGTTAAATGTTCCCGTATCAGATGTTCTTATATGATTATTCTCGTTGTCCTTGTCCTCCAGAATCCATTATGTAAGAGTTGATTAACTGCATTGCAGTGTATTCATGACCAGTGCCGAAAAGAAAATAGCAAGGAGGTTGCTTTTACCTTCTACACCATTGTATTGACTTTCTCCTTGAATCAGTAAACAATGTTTTCACATACAAAGCACACAGTCACAGGAAAAGTTCACACACAGAAAGAAGTATTTTCTTTTCGTGTTAAAAGGTCGCTCCCTGTCTAAGACTCAGTCTTACTCAAATGTGATCTTAAAGACAAGTACGTTTGTATATGAACATTTCTGAGGTGGATTTAAGTCTGTTAGCCCGTTACTGATACTCACACTTGTAAGTCAGTGGTAGCACTTTGACCTCAGTTTTGAAGTGAGTCCGCAATCAGTTTACTTTCATTAAGTTTACTAAGGAACTAGGAGAAATAATTTTTTCATTTTCAAATAATTACGCACAGTTCCCCTGAGTTAGAAGGCTCTATGTAAAAATTATATTTGAATTGTATTTCTCTGTTAGAAGCAATACTGAGGTTTTTTTCGCTTTAATTAGTAATGGCAGGTTCAAAGAGCAAAGCTTTGCTAGGAAGTTTCCACTGCTTGTTTAGCTGTTGTCATTACAGTCACTACTTTCTCCCATAATAGAACCATAGGTTAAACTGATGTAGTGTATTGGAGTGTTCATATAGTGACCTCCTGATTTTTGCCCTTTATCTCCTAACATTTTACACAAATTACATTTTGCTTCCTTGCCAAAATGGCAACTAGTGTTTTTTTTTCATGACTTTTACTTGGATTTATTCTAGAAAATGGAAGGTAGAATGCCATACAAAATGACAGCATGCTGTATGAGTGTGTGCAGACCCTACTCATGCTGGAGAAGCCCTTACTCAGATGCTGGTCTAAACCACATGTGACGGAGTGGAGGCACTGGGGGCTTTGCCCTTGAGTATTGAGAGTGGAGCAGGTGAAGCCTGGTTTGCGCAGGTTTGTTTTTTTTTCCAATGGAAGCATTGGGATGATATATAATGAGGTCAGGTCTTATCCCAGAGTGAGTTAGAGTATATACATCCAACCCCAGGAAGTCAGAGGTGTCTGTGAGTCCCACAGTTTCAGAGGCTGCTATTAACACAACTACGAGCAACATGAGTAGACGCTGTTGAGCTCCTGCAGAACATTAACGTGGCTTTAGCACTGCATGGTCTACGTTTGAAGATTCCAATACATTGATATGGATTAGCCTTCTCTTATCTTCTGCAAGTTCCAATTATGATAATGAACAACAGCCCCTTTGACAGAAAAAAAGTATTAGGGTTAGAAATGACACTCCAGGAGGACTGTTAGTATCCAGAAAATCTGTGCTGTTTCTGAGCCCATTGTCTTTAACCACTGTGTCTAAAATCAAGTAAAAAGAGGAGAGCTTTGGATCCCTTTTAATAAACAGGAAAATAAAACTGCTGAATTTAGTGGGCTGTGACATTCAGCTGTTAATTGATGGGGTCAGTTGTTGGCGCAGACTTGGCCTCAGCTGAGACTTTTAGCTCTGCTGGAGAAAACGGGCTGCACTGATGCCCTGGGTCAAGCTAGGAGAATTTACTGAGAGCTGCAGGAGCATTAAAAACCAACCATTTCTAGACCATTTAATGCATTTATTGGTAAATAAATTGTACTGTATCTCAATTTTCTGTGACTTTGGTAATGCATGTAATTCTGTTTGATGTGACTTACAGAGACTTTTCTCTGGTGGAATTATGGGGATATTTTCTAGGACAGCTGAAAAGTTGCAGGTGTAGCTATTGTGTAATCGAGATTAAAATCTGGTCTTTCATTCTTGGTTGTTATATAAGTATAAATTATTTGTCATCTTTTACTTTTTTAAAAGTGCTTTTCCTCTTTTCTTGCCTCAGAATCCCTTTCTGGAAAGCAAGGATAAGGATACAGCCCTTCTTTAGAAAGCTGCAAAATTAAAAATGCAAAAACACAGGGTAAAGGCTCAAAGAACTAGAACGGGTTTTTGAATGTTTGGCTTTGGAGCAGTGCAGAGTTGACAAACAGAAGCCTTCTGTTGCTAAATAATGAATGATAATTAACACATTATCTTGCCTTTATGTCTGTTCAAAGAAGGAGGCAAAATGAGCTGCTGTTCTTCTAAGCTTTCTTGAATTGTATCCTTACAGTTAGTTTTAACTCATTCACAGTATGAGGGCAATTGAAATAAGTCTGGTCCTAGTAGCTGATATTCATCAGGAAAAATGTTTGGAGAAGCCATATGGCAACGGGCGTAAGGTTGTTAACTTTCAAAGCTACTGGAAGTATAATTCTGTCATTTTTCATTTATTCAGTAGTGGCAGCAGATGGGAGAAAACATGGTTCACGTCAGCATGAGTTTCCTGAAAGAGAAACAGGCAGAAGAAGTAGGGAGGAGGTTACCCCTGGAAATATCAGTACCAAAATACCAGTGTATGCCAGGGATAGGTAAACATTTATGGGAGGTCCTTTTACAGCATTTTGGAGTCATTTTTTGTGCCTCAGTGCTTCTTTGATACTTATGTGAGCTATGGATCTCTTTAACTGAACCAAATAGTGTGAATAGAATGAAAAATAGTGTTGGAAAGCACAACTGTAATGGCAAGAAATTGGGATGAGTAGTTTTCTTTCCTTTCCCCTTTTTAAATGGCAAGGAAGTTCATTTTAAGTGCATTCTGAAAGCAGAATTTAGGAAATTAGGAAAAGAAAAACACCAATGCAAAGTGCTTATGATGTAGGGCCTTTGCTGGTGCTCACTGCTAAAAGAATGATACCCAGTTATCATCCTTGGGGTACCAGCCAGGAAAATACCGAGCTTGCTGAGTGAGTGTGTCACTCCGTAACATCTGTGTCACCCTGTGCAAGATGGAGCCGTCTCAGATGTGAGGGCTGCGAGGTGTGAAATCACCTGATCTTGATGGCTTAGAATAATAAAGTGTATAATTTTGCAAAATGAGATTGTACTGCGATCCCCCAGAGCTTTTAAATAGAAACATGGAAAGAAGCCAGGTGAATTATGCAACACCGGTTGTTTAAAGGAACGTATATTTCTGTTGTACAGGACTGGGGTGAGATGAGAAAGTACTGAAATTTTGAATATGGCATTTAGAGCTCTGTCGTGGTTTAAACCCAGTCAGGTAATTCATTCGCTCACTTCCCCCCCTTTTCTTGCCCTCCCCCTGCTCTCGGAGGGACGGAGAGGAGAATGAATGCAACTCCCACGGGTTGAGATAAGAACAGTTTAGTAACTAAGGTATAACACAAATCACTACTGCTACCACCAATGATAATAATGATAAAGGAAATAACAAGGGAAGAGAATACATCATCTCACCACCAGCCGACCGATAACTCGCTCCCCTCAGCCCGACCAAGCTCCGACCGATACCTCCCTGCAGTCTCCCAGCCCTTCCGGCTAACTCCCCGTTACATCCTGGGCATGACGTGCTGTGGTATGGAATACCTCTTTGGTCAGTTTGGGTCAGGTGTCCTGTCTCTGCTTCCTCCTGGCCTCCCCTCCTCCCTGGCAGAGCATGAGGCTCACAAAGTCCTTGGCCAAACCAAAACATCACTATCAGCTCTGTTCCCAGGCCGAAAGTCAAAATACTGCACTGCACCAGCTACCAAGAAGGAGAAACATGACTGCTACTGCTGAACCCAGGACAAGCTCCCAAAAAAGCTTCACCTGGCCCTGCCTTGTGGCCGCACTAGATTCCTACAATACTATGCATCTACTAGCATGTGAACCTCATGACGTTCAACAAGGGCAGGTGTAAGGTCTTGCTCCTGGGTCAGTGCAACCCCTGGTATCAGTCTGGGGCATGAAGGGATTGAGAGCAGCCCTGCCAAAGAAGACCTGGGGGTACTGGTGAGTGACAAACTGGACATTAGCCAGCAATGTGCACTCACAGCCCAGAAGGCCAATCATATTATGGTCTACATCCAAAGGAGCATGGCCAGCAGGTCGAGTGAGGTGATTCTGCCCCGCTCTCTGCTCTGGCGAGTCCCCACCTGAAGTACTGCATCCAGCTCTGGATCCCTCAGTTCGGGAAAGACATGGACGTATTGGAAAGGATTCAGAGGCCACAAAAATGCTCAGAGGGGTGAAGCACCTTTCCTATGAGGAAAGGCTGAGAAAGTTGGGGCTGTTCAACCTGGAGAAAAGGCTCCAGGGAGACCTTATTGTGGCTTTTCAGTACTTAAAGGGGGCTTATAAGAAAGATGGGAACAAACATGTTAGGAGGTCCTGTTGTGATAGGACAAGGAGTAATGGTTTTAAACTGAAAGAGGGTGGATTTAGACCTGGTATAAGGAAGAAATTTTATACAATGAGGATGGAACTTGTTGCCCAGATGTGGTAGATGCACCATCCCTGGAAACATTCAAGGCTAGGCTGGATGGGGTTCTAAGCAACCTGATCTAGTTGAAGGTGTCCCTGATTATTGCAGAGGGGTTGATCCCTTCCAAACCAGTAAACAATTCCTCAAAACTACTTCATGAATTACTACAGAAAACTAAGAGCAATGAGAATACGATTACTGAAAATCCTCATGACTAATGTATGTGTTAAATGCCGAGCTTCCGTGATCATTCCGTGGATGCACTATGATGATGAAACATGTAAGACCGCTATGCCCAGTAATGTATTATTAGTGTTATGTTTTATGCTTTTATAAATAACAAATAAATTATTTCATCCAAAGCTAATACACAATTTTTTTTCTTCTTGATTTGAGCATTGCTACTTATGAATAATGATTATACCTTTATCCTACTCCCATATCACTGACATGCATCATAAACCTCATTTAGTGGTAAAGTGGTACTAACTTGAATTCTTTTTTGTGCCATTGTCTCACAGACTACGAGTGATTCAAGCACTAGTGAAAGCAAGACTGCTGATGACTATATTATGGTTTCCAAAGAAGAGGAAGGAAGTAGAAGTACTGTCCCAGAGCCAGCGCAATCCCTTCAGGCACACAAGGAGGCAGTGGTGAAGCCAGAAGCTCCTTCTCGTTCTTTGATATTCTCTGATCCACTGATGGGATCCATTTCAGCCTCCTCCAGCAACCTGAGCTCCAGCCCTGATGACAACAGTAGTAATAACAGCAAAGATTCTGATTTCGCTATTGTCAGCCCACTGGACATCTAAAGAAATGGGTTGGAAGAGTTTGCAAGATTAATTGTTACAAGTAAACCCAAATTCCTGTGATTGCATGGGCTGGATAATTCTTTGGATTAGAAGGACAGAAAATAGATAAAGGGAACACATTTCAGCTGCCAAAAGCCTAAATTTAAAAAAAAAAAAAAATGAATTTGCAACTTTTCAAAAAGAATAGACACCTTTTAATAACTGCCTTAAATAAAGACCCTGTAAATCCCTGTTCTAATATACAGTTATTCTTAGTTATATGTTTATCTTACTTAGAAGCTTTGTTACTATAGAACTGTTGCTTTCCCAAAACATAGAATAGTATGTGCTAGGTACCATAATGGATTAGAAAACGTGTAGAGACTTGGCATCAGACCTGAAGCAGCAAAGACAAGATGAATTTAATATCATCCTTTTACAAAATATGCTTGACTGGATTTTCTGAGGAGGAAAAGGTACTGTTTCTTTAGAGACTGCTTAGAGAAGTGGGGAAAGTATATGAGAAAGATTAAAAGTATCGCCCTTGCAGTAAGCTTGTTCTCAGTTGAGGAATCCTAGTTTCTTCATTTTCATCTGGCAGTAGCCTGAGGTGTGTTCGAAGCAGAGGTTTGTGTAGTTGTTCCTCAGCGCTGTCTTACAGGAGAGAGAATGTGTGACAAATTCCCTGAGAACAGGGACCTATACAACATATTATTTCCATTTGCCTACTTTTTTTCCCCTTGTGAGGTCACAGTTCACCTCGTTCCTTCTTTGTATCTGTCTCCTTTTACTCCCCCTGGCATGAATTATTTTTTATTTTACTGAGACTACCATGGTTAAAACAGTAGGTGCAAGGGAAATTACAATACCATGGAGTGTAGACCTCAGGCAGCTGAGCTACAATAGCTTGAGTATGGTAACTTACCAGGGAAGGGTGCAAAGTGAAATGAAATGTTCACAGTTAAAAGCACTTTATATCTCATTGCTAGTATCTTCTGTAGACTCTGTTTACATATATTCCTATACGATTCCCGTATTTCAAGAAAAGCATAATGGTGCAGCAGTGTTAACCAACAGAAAGTTTCTAAATAACCCTAGAACTTGTTCTTCTACAAAAAAGCGTATTTCTTTCCCATCAAGTACATGGTACATCTAATAACAGTTTTTTTCAAGCTGATGGGAGGGTTGCCTTTAAACTCTGTTGGAATTCATAAAAAGAAAGCATGGTAAGCAGACACCTCCTCTTGTAAGACCTAGACAGAGCTAGCTTGACAAAGGAATGCTAGAGTCATTCGATAACAGCATCAAAAGAAGTTGTGTTATTTACTTTTCAGATACATTATACCATGCAACAACTTCATAATTGCATGGTAAAGCTTGTGTTTGTATGGAGTTAAGAAATGGTAGTTATTTGCTGCTTAGTCTGTAATTGTAAACCAAGTTAAGTACTGTATCCCAAAGATGAGGTGACATGTAGTTTGCTGGTCTTAGATTTCACAAGGTTTGTGTCAGTGGCTGAATTGAAGAGATAATTGTAATGTAAGTACATGGTAGCTGCCATATTCTTACACCTTCAAAAAATGCTGTGTGGTCCTTCTGAGATTATTTGTGCCTTGTTATATGACAAACTACTAGAATGTTATGAGCAGGCATAGCATGATACCTCTCTGCAACAGTGATGCGAACAGTCAGATGACTGTTTAGATGAAAGATCTTAAATGCTAACATTTCAGAGAGGAGTTTATTTTGGTTTAATTTTAAGCTTCATTGAAAGTCACTTTGGAATTCGGCATGCATGCCTGTCTTCAGGTTTATTTTATTTCCCTGAGTTTGCATGAATGCCAGGGGATTAGGTGGGCTGTTGATTTATTTAGGTCTTCCAAGATTTTCTAGCCTTAACCCATTCAGCAAGGCTTGTGCCACACCACCGACAAAGGGGAATCTGTTCAAGAAGTACCTCTGGAAAGAGGAAGAATTTTCTGGGGACAGAAAGAAAAGTTTTATATTCTGTGACACATAAACATTCAAGGGTTCCAATACTTTGGCAGGGGAAATATTTTTACTTCTTTTTTTATTTTTTTAAGCATCAATCTTTTGATTTCTGTTCTGGTTGTTTGTTTCAGGGATCACATTGCTATTTTCTTGAACAGTCTCATTGCCAATGGAAGAGTATGATTTGTACAGTTCTTTTATTTTTATAAGTTAGTTGTATCTTTAATATTGCATATTTTAAAGCAGTCCTAAAAGTTTGTAAAGATTTTGTGAGTTTCTGAGAAGTTTTCACTAATCAGTGAATACCGATGAGCTGAATGCCTGTCATGCCATGGGATATGATAAAAATCTTTATAAGCAGAGACATAATTATACAAACAAGATGAGAGCAATTTCCAGTAAATCAAGTTATCTGCTTTGGTTATACCATGTCATTCCACATCTCAAATATATCTGATACTTGATCACAGTGCAGGGGTACTTAGAATTTTGTACATTCATTGAGTTTGAAACTTCTCAGTTAGACAAAATGTCAAGTCATAACCCTGTCTTGTGTTATGTTAAAAATTCCAAGAAAGAAATTGTCATCTAAAATACAAGATCAGTCTTTTTCTCTGAAGACGACCTACTCATAACATTAATGGATAACAATAAGCAGATAGAAAAATTATATTCATTGCAATTTACTGATGAAAACTAATATGGGATTAAGATATGTATCTGAGATTGTTGTAATGTATCTTGCATCTGTAATATATGACTGTTTAAAGTCTCTTGCATGTCATGTCATTTGTATGTACTGCGGAAAGGCAGTATCATCTTTTCACTGGGTATTCATTTAGTCGTGGAACTTTGTATCTTTAGTCTGGAAGAACATCTAGTCTGCTTTATTAAAGAAAGAATTAACAAATTTTCTGTGCTTGTGCTGTTTTCTCAATAGGAGGGAAAGCTTTGTGACTGGAAGACTGGGAGTGTGAATACCGAGAACAAGAGTAGTTAAAAACTTTAAAATTATCCCATTATCTCCATGAACACAAATATTGTCAATATTTCAATCATATTTTATACATATGATCCAGAAAATAAAACTGCCTGTCATTTATGTCAGCAAAACAACAAAAACCATTTCTTATTTTACCCTATTTATTGTATCTGAAAATAGCAGACCAGAATTTAACAAGGTATAGCTTTTCTGCAGTTTCATGAAACTTGGTATAGTTACATCACTGTGTGTCAGTCACAGTACCAGTATCTGTGCAGTTCACTTTTCTGAATCTCAATACTTTATTTCATATTCTTAACTGTTTCCTGTGATTCTCCAGTATGTTCTTATTAGATGGCACTGAGGCAGCTTTTTGAAAGATTAAATTTCAGATTGAAGGTGTACTTGTGCCCGACAGTTACAATGTCATCTTTCAAATACAGGCATAGCAGTCCTAACATGAGCTCATTTCTGAGGGTGTCAGCCCTTAGATAATACTTTCGATTCTGTGCTGCACATACTGGTCTTGAGTGAATATCTGTACTGGTTTATTAGACTTGAAAAGGTACAATTTCATAAAATAAACTGCATTTGGCTACAGTATAGTAATGACGCTGTTTTATAATCTCTGCTGTTCTTTTAAAAGTGATTATATACAGTCTCTTCATTAGTGTTTCCTGTGTCACCAAATCTGCTAGACTCCCACTTTAGTAGCTAGCTAAATTTAGAGATGAAAGAGCATGAAAGGAGGTCATCAGAGAAACAGCAACTTGAAGCGCACGCATAGGCAACTTGTTTGCCTGCTGCTTGAAATATATTTAACTGCTAAAATGAGGGGAGCTTTTAGATATGTGGGAGGACCCTGCAAGGGCAAAGTGCATAAACCCAGAAAGAATGAGCTGGAGGAGATGAAGCATGAGACTCTAAAACTGTAGGGCAGGAACCATCCATTTCTCTGATTTTGTACAGACCTTCTAGCATAGATTGCTATCATAGAATTATAGAACGATTAGGGTTGGTCCTTAGGATCATCTAGTTCCAACCCCCCTGCCATGGGCAGGGACACCTCACACTAAACCGTGTGTCCTGGGTTCAGCAGTAGCAGTCATTTTTCCCCTTCTTGGTAGCTGGTGCAGTGCAATGTTTTGACTTTCAGCTCGGGAACGGAGCTGATAACAAGCGATGTTTTGGTTTGGCCAAGGACTTTGTGAGCCTCATGCTCTGCCAGGGAGGAGGGGAAGCCAGGAGGAACCAGAGACAGGACACCTGACCCAAACTGACCAAAGAGGTATTCCATACCACAGCACGTCATGCCCAGGATGTAACTGGGAGTTAGCCAGAAGGGCTGGGAGTCTGCAGGGTTGGAGGAGGTATCGGTCAGAGCTTGGTCGGGCTGGGGGGGCGAGTTATCGGTCGGCTGGTGGTGAGATGATGTATTCTCTTCCCTTGTTATTTCCTTTATCATTATTATCATTGGTGGTAGCAGTAGTGATTTGTGTTATACCTTAGTTACTAAACTGTTCTTATCTCAACCTGTGGGAGTTGCATTCTTTTCGATTTTCCTCTCCGTCCCTCCGAGAGCAGGGGGAGGGCAAGAAAGGGGGGGAAGTGAGCGAACGAATTACCTGGCTGGGTTTAAACCACGACACCGTGTCATCCAAGGCTCTGTCCAACCCGGCCTTGAACACTGCCAGGGATGGAGCACTTACCACTTCTCTGGGCAACCTGTTCCAGTGCCTCACCACCTTCACAGATCACATCATCACAGATGCTGTCGAAATTAGGATGGTAAGAGTAATACTATTTCACCAGGTTTTACTCTTTCCAACAGTGAGCTAGATGTAATCCATTGATAATAACCTAGCTGATGGCAGTAGCGTTGTGTCAGCAGAATTTGTTCCCACACTGCTGAAATAAGTGCAACTGAAGAGCAGTAGCTTAAACAAGTAAGATAAAAACAAACAAAAAAATCCATACCAAAACCAGGATAACAATATTGCCAAATATAAAAAGCTGTATTTCTCTCAAGACATATAGTAAGTTTAAGAAGTGTTTTCTAAAATGTGCTTCAGGTGGCACTTGTGTACCTTTTTTGGTTTGAGCAAACCTATCATTGGTTCTAACTTGCAAAACTCTAGCTGAAGCCGAGGTTCAGGAAGCATTAAAATATATCAGCTGCAGAGGAAGACACTGCGGTTCCATTTTCTATGAATGGTAAGAATTTGATCATTCAAATCACACTGATTTAACACTTTCGCTGTCTTTCATGGTGACAGCATGAAAAACCCTGTAAGCATTTACAGAGACTTGATGGGAACTCTGCTGCTTCAGTCGTCACGTGCAGTCACAGAGCTTTAGGCTGAGAAAGTTTTCACAGCTTTGCCTTTCACTGTGTGCTTCGGGGACCATGGTGAGATTAGGTTTGCCTGAATTTCTAACTAGTACAAAGAAGAATTCGAAGATCCTCTAAATTATCGTGTCAGTATCTGAGAGCTTTTGGAATGTAAATGGCTACACGGTTTTGAGATAGAAGAACGGTTGTCACAATATCTTGATTTCCCACCTGCTGTGATAATTAAATCCAGTGGATGTGGAATGTAGTAGCTTTCTCAGATCAGCATTAAATTCCCCTTTAAAATAATATCGAGCAAACATCTATAAAAAGGTTGTCATATAGCTTGCTGGATAATGCATACTTTTGTGCAGTACTCAGGAACATCCATCTTTTTGTGCATAAGTAGGGAAACTTGCAACAGCCTGTAACACATTGCAGAAAATGTTCGTGAATATGAGCCTGTTCTTAGAAACATTCTTAAAGCTTCAAGTATTAAAATACATAAGGATGTTAAAAAAATATCCTTAAATACATAGAAAGCTTCTTTAGGCTTGAAAAAAAATCATCAGGTCTCAATAAAATTTCACCTTCTTTAGAAATGTTTGATTTCCTTATCTAATCACGTTATTGCTTGTTGCACCATGCAGACTTCCGTTTACCACTGGCACTGCTGTCTGGATGGCTGCAGTACTTGCACCCGTAGTCAGTGTAATACCCATTGCACCAGCTGTCTGGGGGTTGAACAGCAGTAGGGTGGGTTTTGTGCTGTGAGTGGATAGAATGTTACTTTCTCCAGTTACTGCCTTCCTTATTAATTACTGCCTTGCAGTCCCTACCTGTGCTTTATCACGTGTGTCTTTCCATATTGATCCTTCATTGTAAAGGTGTGCAAGTCTTCTGCCATCACATGTGCATTGCATGTGCAGCAATGAACCACCAGCCTCCAGGTGACGCCACAGTGCATCTTACAAGGGTACCTAAAGGTAGGAGTTTGGGACCCCAATGAACTCCTTGCATTTCAGAATTGTACTTCAGACCAATAACTTTCAAAGTCTGGAGAAAATTAACTGTGGTATTTGAGCAATGACTTACATGTTTGCTAAGTTGTGAAGAAGTTGCACTGGGGGAACTCCCCAACAAACACTCCTTCCAAACCCACTTGGTGCTCATTTCCCACAGTCAACCCCATCTGGCAGTTTTGTGTTACCGGACATAACTCATAAAAGCCTCAGCTGTTTAATCTTCTTGAATCAATGAGTTCTCAGTCACTGTGATCAAAGTTAGCTGCTCATCATCTGAGGACTCCAGTACCCTATGCCTGCAGCCTGGCCACCAGCCCAACCTGTGTGCTCCTTCTTCTCGTGAAATCTTATGAAAAATCTCATAATGGTGGTACCCGTATTCGGTCCTCATAACTTCCCTGTGGTAAGCTTTATTGTAAGGTTTATTGCCTAATATTTTCTCTATCCACAGTTTATTTGTAATACAATGAGAAAAAAAAAATGGCAGAAAAATATTGGCTTGGCTCAAAAATGCTTTGCTTTTTCTTTCTTCCCTGTCCAGCTAAAGGACCTTTGCTAAGATGCTTTTACTTGTAAAACAGCCTGCATGTATTTAAACTGGTTACAAGACAGAGTTTTGGTCTGTTTTCTCACAAAAATGCTGAAACAAAACATTGATTCCTCCGAAACTTTTTCCTGACTTAAGTGGAGATTAAGTTAAGCATCAACTTTACTGAACTATAAACGGGGATAGTGTATATTTTCAGTTTCTAAAAACCAGCATGTTTTGTTGAATACATTGAAGCACAATTGGGCAAATAACAAACTTACCAAGCTATGCTTTAATAATAAATTGAATTCAATATTCCCCTTGGTGGGACCACAGAGAGGGAGGACAGCCTCAGACCCAGGAGGACGATGTAGTATGGTACCAACTTGTCTGCCCTCTGCAAAAGGGACCCCAGCCACATTTGGGGAAGGATGATCATGGGCACAGGGGAAGTTGAAGGAAATGCGGGGCACGCAAGACCATGCCATGCTGGTGTGTGCCCCTGTTATGTGGGACACCCTTGTGCAAGGGCCAGGGGCTACAGTGTTGCTAGAAAGATGGAGGATCAAAAGATGTCAATTAGTGTTTGCTGCCTGCCACAGATCTTTTCAGCTTCAGCTTAAATAAGGAAAGCAACTGCCAAGCATCATTAACCATGCTGGCACTGCAGTCGCTGCAGTGTGCTTTCCTCAGTGTTTTCCTTCTATAGGATGCAAATTTTACATTGTAGAGTGGCTTATAAGAAAGAAAGATACATCTAATTTTTCATATTTTGGCATTTTTGCTGAATGTTAACAATTTTTTTTAAGAAATGTTATTATTGGTGTAAGTCCACAGAGAGACTGCAACAACTCTGCCCTTTTTGTCCCCCATGTAGTAAGCATTTTGAAGTAAGCAAAAGAAAAAGAGAACAAAAGAAAAAAAAGAGAAATAGCAACTTTAAAATTCTTGTAATCTAAGTGTTGGGTTTTTTTACATAATGGGATTAGTATGTTTAGTATCTTGCATGGAGTGGAAAACCAATGTCTTTTAAGACATTTTG